GGGCCGCGCCCGGCGCCCCCGCCTCCAGCGCCCAGCCTGGGCGCACCTGGCGTCCCGGGGGTCCGCGCTCCAGGCCTAAGGGCCACACCCGCACCGTCTCGCCTGAGACCTGGGCGCCCAGACTCACTGCGGGGAGGCGGTGTGACACCGGCCAAGCTGGTGCCCAGGGCGGCCCTGGCAGGTGAGGACCAGAGCCGGCGGGAGCCCAGGCCCTGGTTCGGTCTATGGGTGGGGTCTGGACACGCCCATCCCCGAGCCTCTCACTTCAAAAGGAACTTCGTGGGAGGGGGGAAGGGGGGAACAAAAAGAAAGTGAAACTAGAGGGAGGGAGAGGGAAGGAGAGAACGCGCCCAGCAGGTTTCTGGCTCTTCCAGGAGAGTGAGGAAGGCAGCGCCCGACAGGGCCCCCCCACCCCAGGGCCCACATTGGGAGCCCATCCTGCCCCCTTACTCTGCACACGGGGGGCCCCAGCCCTGCCCCCCTCTCCACACCGGCCGGAGCCCCCCCCCCACCCGATGCGCTCTGGCCTGCCCACTTAGTCACCTGAAGATGTTGGGGCCTGACCACAGAGCCTCCGGGGACTCTATGTTACAGGGAGCTACCCACTTGGGGCAAATGGGGGCTAGTGGGGGGGGAGGTTCAAGCCTTAGGAAAGAGAAAATTTGGAGGGAGATGGCCCCTAAAGTCGGGGGCCACCTCAGCCCACATCTTAGCCACTGGTGCAGCCACATGGAGTGGGCAACAGAGGGTGGTTATAATCATTCGGCTAAGTCCAGGGCAGCCACACACACACACCCAGCCAGCAGGAGACCAGTGTCCTCTTGGCTCAGGAGCCCTGGGTTGGTCCCAGAACTCAGCTACCAAGTTGTGGTGGACCCTCCAGGTGTGTTCACATGTGCTGCGTGTGGCTTTCCTCTCACACCACTCTGTAAAGTGAAGAACAAAGGTTTTATTTCCATTTTGCAGTTGGGGAAACTGAGGCTTAGAGAGGGGCAGTGACCTCTCGGAGGTTAAACAGTTCTCCATGGTGGAGCTGGGACTCCACCCCAGGCTTCTCTGCTTAGCCTGTAGGCCTAAACGCCTGTGTGTGGGGTCGGGTGCTGGGGCAGGGGTGGGATGGGGGCACAGTGGTGCGTGACCAAGAAGAGGAGCTTGGGAATTCCTCCTCCTCACCACCGCCACCACCACCACATGGGCCAGAAGAACCCACCTCTCCTGTCCCCAATTCCAAGCCCTGGTACAGCCCAGTCCAGGGCACCCTCACTATCTCTAGCATCAGAGGGGACTGGTGAGAGAGGGGAGGAAGGTGACAAGGACAGGCACCTGTGGCTCCCACCTGCAGCAGGAGGTATCGAGGTGTGACCAGAAGGGGAACTTCCTAGCATGAAAGAGAAATCTGGTTCCCTGTAGCTGTGGGGGAGGCTCTGGGGGGCCCTCTCTGAGAAGTCTGATTTTCTGATGGAAATGCTGGGAAAACGTAGATAGCTGTCTAAATGTAGAGATGTTTCCCAAGATAAGCCTAGGATCCTGGCGATGTGAGATGGGCTGCTGGGAGCTGAGGCCTCACCCAAAATGAAATTACTGGGTGTGGGCAACGCAGCTCTCCTCTGGGGAGCCTGCTCCCTTCAGGACCCCGGGGGGCTCAGGGGACCTCCTCTGTTTATCCAGCTCTCGCTGTGGTAAGTCTGGCTCCCCCATCTCACGCCAGCCACATGCTGTGTCTCCCAGTGGCACTACCTTCAAGAGGTGAGGAGGCTGCCCCAGTGCCAGGCGGGCTCATAGCCCAGCTCTGCCATGTGCCAACATGAATCCTGAGCACAGGACTGGGCCTTAGTTTCTTCAGCTGTGAAATGGGAAGTAAGATGAACCAGGGCCCTCTCACAGGCATCGCAGGACGACAAGCCAGCACAGGCAGAAGGTGAGCCTCCAGCACTGTCACCTGCGGGCCACTCCACCTGACACGGTGTGCCTGGGAGCCCGGAGTGCAGGCCCTTCACTCCCCTGGCGCTCTTCGGTGATTCTCAGAGGAGCTGACTTACGGGGCCAGGCTGGCCTCCCCTCAAGAAACACAAAATGGCCCTGAGGAAGTTTCCAGACATGTGCCTACGACTTTCCACAGCTTCCAGAGACACTTGCCCTGCCCAGGAGCTGCTCGTTGTAAGGCTGTGTCCCACAAGCTTGTGGAGGGGCCTGAGAATGGGGGGCCCGCTGCCCAGTCCTGGTGGGGAGCTGCCCCCATCTGGCTCTCTGGCAGAAGCTTCTCCCCTGCCATCGGTGACCCACTGGGGAAAACCAGCTCAGCATGTGCTCTCCACGGGACACTGGGGATACAGTGGGCATTTCCACACTGGCAGGTTGGCACCCGGGGTAAGCCACCTGTGGCTTTCACAGTCCGGGGCTCCACGGGGCCTGGGAGAAGTGCCGAGTGTGGTGTGGCCGTGAGCGACGGACTCTGCCCGTCTCCAGTCCCTCGGGCGCAGAGCCAAAGGGGGTGGGTGCCTCCAGTGAGCTGCTGTATGTGGGAGCCCCAGAGAGGACATGGGGGGTGGCTGATCTGCCGTGGGACCTGAGAGGCGGCCTCATCCCTCCTCGCCTCCATCAGGCATTTGTCCGACTCCCACCGCCTCCCCTATGGCCTTCTGAGGGTCCCAACCCACCAGCAACAGCAGGGAATCCCGGCTCTCGAGCCCCTGGCACCCCCACTCGTGGGCCCCCACTCATCAGGGTGTGGGGCAAAGGCTCCCCAGGACTTGCCATGCTTATGTGGCGTTCCCTGGTTGTGCAAGGCCCAGGCACACCCGTGTCTGGGCGAGAATCTGGAAGGCTGCCAGCCGAGGTGCCAGCCTGGGCCTGGGAACCAGACTGAGAAGCCTGAGGGTGCGGGTGGAGCCACCTCCAGCCCGGCCCACCTGGGAGAGGCCCCAGCTGCACGGTGGGTGCCAAGGGAAAACTCTTGGGGTCATACTTTTGCCCAATATCTCCAGGGCACATGCCCTCAGCCTGGGCCCAGCTCTCCTGAGCCCCTAGCCCAGGGACCAGATGGACAGACAGATGGGAATCCTCACGTGGGCAGTTAGAGAGGTACCAAGGTGGTGGGGGACCCAGAGGGAGGCGGGTCATGCCCAGCAAGGAGAGTTCAGGGACCATGAGCAGGGAGGGAGGCCCCTGGCCAGCAGGCCCAGCGTGGCATGGTGGGGCTGAGCCTGGGACATGCCCTCGCCCCACTGGACTGCTCAGTTTGGGCAGAGAACTTGCCAGGGGTCCAAACACCTGATTTCATTCCCAGCTGAGCTTCTGACAAGGCATGTGGCTGCCCACCGGCCTTGGAGAGCCACACCCACTGGGCCTGGGCCTGCCCATCACACACCTGCCCACAGCAGGGCCCGCCCCCACCCACCCACCCACCCAGGCTGTCACAACCAGGGCCAGCCCGGGCCACCCCCTCCCTGTCTCCCCACCCAGGCCTGGGTGGGCCTGGTTTGTAATGGGTAGTTAGTTAGGGGCTATGGGCAGATCAGGGGCTGGAATGAACCATGCAGAAGGGCCAGCATACTGCAGAGGCCCCTGTGAAAACTAGACAGCAACCGAGAGGGACAGTAAGGAGGAGAGAGATGGTCTGTGTGAGGACAGTTAAGTAGGAGCAGATATGGGTGGGGGGCTGCCTGGAGGAGGTGACTCCAAGCTTCAAGAATGAGGATTCGGAGGAGAGGAGATGGGGCAGAGGTTGTCTGGAGGAGGGAACAGCCTGAGCAAAGGCCAGGAGGCAGGAAAGTGGGGGAGGGGCCAGCTGGCCCGCCCCTGCCCCCTCGGGCCTGGCTCACACTCACACTCATGCTGCCTCAGGAAGGACTGGCTGGGCGTCCCTCACCCCCAGGGTGCTGAAGACACCGCCCTTTGACCAGGAGCCTGGGACCCAACAGACCCACTGGAGCCAGGCTTTGGTGACCTAGGGAGGGAGTGGTCCCCAGAAGGACTTTATTGCCACTCTGCCCAACAAAGACCTTTAGGCTTTCTTGGAAACAGAAGGAGAAGCGTCCCAGCAGCAGGGGCACATCACAGTCAGAGCCATGGGTGGGGGCTTGCGATTCCTCCAGCAGGTCACAGCAGGAAGGTATGGCTTATGCTGCAGCAGGACAGCTTCAGGTTAGACAGCAGGCAGCACTTCCTGAAAATGTGAGGTCTCCTGGGACCTCTCTCCTGAGAGCAAGTGGAGGCCCAGGCAGCATATGGGGGCAGGGCGGACAGACAAGCCCGGGCACCTCCTCGGTGGGGCCCAGCCTTTCACAAGGGAGGGACCCGAGGACCCGAGCAAACCCAGCCAGCCTTGAGCGTCTTCTGGAGGGCCAGATGACGGCGTAGGGGATGGAGGTGTCAGCTGGGGGCCTGGGCCACCCAGCCTGGAAGGCAGGCAGGAGCACCCAGCCCAGTGGGTCCTGGGGTGCAGTAGAGAGATCTGAGGTCCCCTCCAGGCTCGAGGAACATCTTGGCCATGGCTGGCGCCCTCCACTGCTGTGGTAAGGTGTGTCACAGGGTAGCCTGACAGGACAGAACTCAGGAGGTCGGAGGTCGGCCCTTCCTACGGGGAAGCCCTCCCTGACTGCTCCTATCTCCCTCTGGGCACTTTTCAGCCCAGGAGGGGCTCTGCAGGCTGGACTGACTCGGACCCATCCCAGCCTCTCTGGCTCTATCCCCAGGACTGGCCCTTGGACACATCCCGCAAGCCAGGGTCCAGCCACAGGGCTGGGAGCTCTGTGGGAGCACCATCAGCCCTGCCTGGGTTTGGAGGGGACTTACTGGGCCGGCGGCCTGGGCACCAATCCCACCCTGGAGGCTCTGCAGAAGGGTCACCACTTCCAGGTTCCCAGCTGTTTCTGCCTGAGGGAGGGTGCATGGGGGGAGGCGCTGCCTCAGGGAAGCTGACCAGCAGCCTGGCCCTGGACAGCCCCTCAGCCCCGCCCACCAGGACACCCTCCCAGCCCGCTCCTCCCGCCCATGAACGCAGGACCCCATGTCTCCTGCACTCTCCTGGTCCCCACAGCTCTGGGCCCTGGGAAGGGCCTGGGACAGGAAGGGGGACAACCCCGCACAGCTCCCTCACGTGAAGCTCGTCCACCAAGAGAGCAGGAGTGGGGCATCTGGGGAGGGGCGGTGGTGGGGGGAGCGGTGGAACTGTCAGGGAGGCCTTCCTGGAGGAGGTGGCCTTGGCAAGGGCAGCGGGGGCAGTGGTGGCACTCACAACCAGAAGGGCGCTGCGCCCGTCATAGCCTGGCCGCTCCAGGTCAGCCCCTGCCTGCCACCATACCAGCAGGCCATCGCGGTCCCCCCGGGATGCCAGCCTGGGAGGGGAGCAGAGGAGGGGAGCGTGAGGGCCTGCTGGGCGCCCGCCCATCTGCCCACCTGCCTGCCCAGGGGTGCCCGGGTGCCTTTACAGAGCCAGCCCCAAACAGCTGACCCAGCAGCTGGGCCTGGGGCAGGAGTGCAGGCGTCGCTGGGGGCCGGCGGGCAGCCTGGAGTCCGGTTTCACCAGTGGGGTGACTGTGACTCAGGTCGAGCGCGCACACACATACTTGCATGCACACACCTGGGCACACGCACACGCACACACACACACCACCTGCTGAGTGCCACATATCAGCTTCAGATTTCACAACACAGCTCTCCCTGTGTGGGGTCCACAGAGGCAGGAAGAAAGTCTGAGGCAGCCCAGTGGTTCAAAGAGGGACACACAGGAGGCCCAGGGTTGGGGGTCCTGGATCCAGCAGGCTGCATGGGGGTGGTCCTTGGCTGGGAGAGGAGCCTGGGCCCGCCCGCCCTGGAGAAGGTGGTGTGGGGACATAGAGCACCTCCCAGGCCCTCACCAGGGTCCCCCTCACCCTCCCGCCCCCACAAAGGGGTCTTGTGACTCCCTCCTGGTCAGGAAACAGCAGCCCCCACAGGGGCTCTGGGTAATTTCTGGGGTGAATCATGCTGGATGGCACCACCAGCTCCTCCCCGACCTGCCCCAGGCCTCCCACACGGTTGCCACTGGGAAGGGCCAGCCGAGGGCCCCCAAATCCGGCCAAGCAGCTCAGGTCAGACCAGCCCTCTCCCAAGCAGAGGCCCGAACAAAGGTACCAGTGCTGTTGGTGGGACCTGGCTATCACTGGCCCCCTCCAGCTCAGTCTCCCCATCTGTCAATGGAGCCAACAAGGCCTGCAGCCCTGTCACCCCAGAAGTCCTTTAGAGCCTAGAGCAGTGGTTGTGGGCAAGCCCCTCCCTTCCTGGGGCTGGCCACCCCCCATCACGTCTGAGAGCCCAGCTTACCCCCGTTGTCACTGAGAAGGGCAGGGGACAGGCCAGCCAGCAGGATTTGTCCCCCAGGGACACTGAAGCCCAGGGCAGGAGCGGCTGAGGCCTTACTGGCACCAAGACATGGGGGTTGGGGAGAAGCTGGCCGGTGGGGACGCAGGGCCAGAACTCTGGGTCCTCTTCCTGCCGAGCAGGCAGCTCGCCCGCCTCACACTCCAGCCGGTCAGCCTGAGACACCACCGTCCTCACCCACTCCCCAGGCCTGGGGGCTCTGACTTTCAGGGACCCAGGCCCCAGCAGTCTCCAGCACCCGCAACCCCGGCTACCACCGGCGCCCTGGCCTGGCCTGGTGGACGGGCCTCTCCCTTTCTCCACTTCCCTACTCGGCCCCTCCCCCCTCCCTCCCTCCCTCCCTCCCTTCTCCTTGACCCTCAGACCCTGCCCGTGGGCAGGCCAGGCTGGACACAAGAGGAGCTAGCGGGCAGCCCCGAGTCACCAGGCACAGGGAAGGCAGTGATGGGCATCAAAGGCTCCCCGGAGAGGGGGTCCAAGGGGATGGGGGGGAAGGAGCTGAGCTCTGCAGCCTCGGCCTGTCCTCTGCCTGGCCCACTGCCAGCACCCTCTCTGGGGACCTCCAGGGCCCCGAGCCCCCCATGCCTCTGTCTCCCCCAGGCCCGCCTTGGTGGTCATTCAGGGCAGCAGTGAGGTCAGAGTCACGTTGGCAAGTGGCTGCTGTGCACCAGGGCAGGACAGCTGCTGGGGCTGTGGTCAGTTTACCCCATGACGGGGACCAGGCCCACCACCGTGCGGCCCACACTGGAGCTCACCCCGCTGGGGAGGACGGAGACTCTCGAGGCCTGTCACCATGCCCAGAGGGGGTCAACTCCCCTGCCCCCACCCCATCTACTCCAACCTCCCAAACGCAGCCCAGGCCTCCCCCAGCCCACACTCCAGCCCCTCTCCTGTGTGACCCCCCCCACAGCCTCCTCAAGCCCACACACATGCGTGCACGCGCACACACACACACACACACACCACTTTGCTGGACTGTTCTCTCTGCCAGGAACAATGCCCAGATGCAGACCGAGTGCAGGGTGGGCTCTCCCTCCTCTGAAGCCCCCACCCTGGCCAACCGTCCCTCCCTGCAAGCCTGGCATCCCTCCTGGAGGCCTGGCCCCACGTCCTGGAAGCACAGGTGTGCCTGTGGCCCTCACCTGCACAGCTCGGTCCCTGCGTCCTCCAGCTCCTGGGGGGACAGGCGGGCCCCGGCTGCCCGCAGCAGCCCAATGACACCCTGGTGCCTGCCGTAAGAAAGAGCATGGTGACGTTGGCCCTGGCAGCCTCTGCTCAGATACCAGCAGGGCCTCATGTCCTGTGCACAGGACCAGGAACCCACCCACCCCAGACCAGGGCTGCTCACCCTCAGTCCCCAGCACTGGGCCCCACCCAGGGGCGTGGGTCAGCCCTGGCTGAGCAGCAACTCCATCCACGTAGAGAGGCCCCACTGTGGTCTCCCCCGGCCCACGCTGGGGCCCTAAGTCTTCCTGTGGGTGCCTGGGGACAGCTTGTCCTGGAGGACAGTCTCCACACCAAGCTTGTGGCCCCACTGCACACACCCACCAGTAGGCTCCCAACCAGGGCTGGGTCTGGGGAAACTGAGTCAATCTGCCCAGATTCTGCCCTTGGAGTGAGATGAGGATGAGATAGAGATGAGACCGGCAGACAAACACGAACAGCGGGGTCAGGCTGGCGGCCCAGAGCAGGGCCCAGATGTCTGCGGGTGTCCAGAGGCCCCCAGCCTGAGCCAAACCTGGAGCCGCCCGCTGGGGTGAGTGGTCTGTGGGACTTCGTGGGGTGGGGCCGGAGCTCAGGCAAGGTGGAGGAACAGAATGTGCAAAGGCCTGAGGCTGCCCAGCCTGCTGCAGTGGGGACCTCGACTCTCACAGCATAATGGCTAACATGGTCCCCTTCCCGCTGCAACATTGGGGTGCACCATAAATTGCATGATCACCCCACTTTTAGGGAGCCTGGGGAGGAAGATAGGGGCCCCCCAGGCCTTGCCCACAGCCCGCCCCCAAGAGCCCTCCAGGGTGAGGCAGCCCCTCCCCTCCACCACCCTAGGGCCCAGCAGGGCCGGGCAGGAAAGACTGGGAGACCGGTTTGGGGAAGAAGGTGTTGTGACAGCCAGAGGGATGAGGGGGCAGGACCAGGAGGGGTGAGCTCATCTCGCTACCCACCCACACTCAAGAACTCGCAGCCTGAAATCTCCGGCCAGATCACCCCGGCCTGGATGCCAGGGGCATACCCAGGGGCAGCCCTTCACCTTCCGTCCACCAACAGTCCTGTTCTGAGAACCCCTCAATGCTCCAGGAGCCTGGGAAGGAAGATGCTCCCCCATCACCCCTTCACCAGGCTCACAGCGGGGGAGGGCGCCCGGGACTCAGACACCCCCGAGGGCCTCTCTCCATGAGACTCATGAGCTCCCCCCAGAAATAACCTGGGTTCCTGCAGGCCAAGCACCCCCTGGGGAGAAATCCCAGGAGAAGCGGCGTCTGGGGGCTGCCGCAGACACCAAGCCCAGGTCAGCTCTGCATTTGGAAACAGTAAGACCACCGAGAATGAAGAGCCAAAGCCGTGACCTCACCCCCAGAAACACACGTGCTCACACATGCATGCACACTCGCACACTCTAGATCTGACCCCGCTCTGGGCTTCGGAATGGGCGAGGGGGAAAGAGACCCTGGAGGGCCCCGCCCCCCCACCCACCAGGCCGAGGCCCACCAAGACTGCCTCGTGCCCACCCCCTTGGAGTATCAGAGTATTGACTGTCCTCAGAGCAGGCAGGGCCCAACGCTCGGACAGATGCCAGGCGGGCCTGGGGAGGACAGGAGACTCCGCCCCACCCCAGCAAGGGACACGCGGGCGTCCTCAGGCCCGATGCCCACTCCTCCCGCCTCATGCTGGTGGGGTGTCCAGGCCCTGTGCCCTGCCTGCCCAATCACAGGGGCAAGGGGTCAGAGCTGGGTGGGACTGGGGGGAAGTCCTGTGACCCCGGCTCCTGGTTGGTGACCACCGCTTGGGCGTGTTTTCCTTCAACATTGATCCTCAGACAAACACCCCTGCAAGCTGCAGCCCCCAACACGCGCATGCATGTCGCAAGTGAGAGTGCAGAAGCCCGGGCAGAGGCCTGCAGGGAACCCCAGCCTCTCGCCCTGGCTGCAAGGCCGGGTGCCCCTACCTCTCCGACCAGTGTCGTCTGCCCTCCTTAGGAGACTGGACCTCAGGTGCCCGCACCAGCTGCCCAGGGCCTCGGTGCCTCAGCAAGAGCTGGGCTCTGCGAGTCCCACCTGGGCGGGGGCCTCAGACACACCCCCTGTTAAAAAGCCAGGGTTTGTTGGGTGGGGCCAACTTGGGGGGCCCCCTCCCACTACTGTGCAGGCTGAGCTTGCCCCCAGGGGCACCTGTGCCCATCCCAGCCTGACGTCTGGCTCCGTGTAGCCTGCTTTATACCTGGCCCATCCCGGGGCTGGGTGGGGGGCTTCTTCCCTTGCCCCACCCCCCAGCCCCACAGGTGCGCATAGATGACTCGGGGAACACACTTTCTCCGTGTTTTTCTTTTCTAGAAACTCCGTGCCAGGGTCTTGCTGGGCCTGCCTTGCTCCATTTGGAATTCATCTCCTCCAGGAAGCCCTCCCTGACCACCCTGCCCAGAGTCCGTCCTCCCTGTCTGGGCCTTGTTCACACCTGGCCTGGCCACTGCCAGTACCTGGGGCCCAGGCTGGGGGTGGGCGAGGGTCTGGGAAGCAGGTGTCCTTGGCTCCATCCAGCTCTGCCAGGGGAAGCTGTGTGACCACAGGCAAACCGGCAGCCCTCTCTGAGGCAACTCTGTCCAGGCCCACCCCCTGCGGCATCCCCGCCCACACATCCACCCGGGCCCCAGGTCCCCTGAGTACCTGCCCCTCACGGCCAGCAGCAGCGGACTGAGGCCGTCCTCGTCTCGGGCACTCACGTCCACCCCACTCTGCAGCAGCATGGTGACCACCCCAGTGTGACCTCCCCGGGCGGCCGCGTGCAGCGGAGTTTGACCATTGAAGTTCTCCAGGCTCAGGTCACTGCCCTGTGGGCACATCACCCACTGAGGGAAGGCTGGGCAGAGACAGGAAGGCCAGAGGGAGGGGACGGGGGGTTCAGGGTGCAGCCCAAGGGTGAGGCCTGGCACAGCCACTGTGACCCCCTTAGGTGCAGTGAGGCCCTGCCAGCTGGTCGCACAGCCCGGCAGACCAGGGCGCAAGGGTTAGTGGGCCCCAGGGAGAGGCCACCCCGCCCACAGCTAGCCAGCACCCCCATCCCCGGGGCCTGGCGTGGCTGAGGCTGATCTCCAAGGGTGGGTGGGGGGCTCACCAGCTCCACAAGCGCCTGCAGGGCCTCCAGGTCGCCGGCGTAGGCCGCGGCACAGGCCAGGCTGGGCATTAGGACGTCCCGCAGGGCATTGGCCCCCTGGGTGGGGGATGGGGGCTTCCTGAGACCACGCCTTTCCCTGGGGTGCTCAGCCGCACCCCCCAGGAGCAAGCAGGGTGAGGAGCAGCGTCCCCTTACACAAAGGAACCGGTGGGTAGAGCCGGCAGGGCCCAGGGCCCAGGGAATCCTGTCCCCACACCATGCTGGCAGTGGGTCCGGGACAGGGGTCCAGCCACCTCCTTAGTCACAACATGTGAAAAGAAAGAGCGTGAGCATCACACCCAGAGGCCCACCCAGGACCTCCCCCCAGGAGCAAGCCCAGGACATGAGGCTACGATCTGTCTCCATCCTCACCAGCTATGTGGCCAGGGCCTGCCACCCGCCTGCCCACAGAGGTCCATTTCCTTGTTTGTCTCCACCGCCACCAAGGATGCAGGCATAGACTCATAACAAGGCATGCGCCTGGGGGACTGTGGGAAGGGGAGCCTGGCCCCCTCCCCAGAGAGAAGGGCCTCCACATAACTGCACGGTCCCCGCAGAATCGCCAGCACTGGGAAAGGGGTGGGTCGTCTAGGAGCTCCCGGAGATGCCGGAAGGCCGGGGGCTCCCAGTAGAGGCCCCACAGGCAGCCCCGCACCTGGCCCAGCCCATGCTCAGCCTGGCACCCATGGCCGGGCCTGATCACAAAGTGCTGCCCGCCGGCCTGCATCCCTCGTGTCATTAAGGCCCGATGCAGCCACCCTAATAACAAGCCATACACATCCCAGCCTCTTCCGTCTGACCATCGCCCACCCCCACCAAGCAGCAGTTAACACCACCGAAGCTCTCCAAGACAGGTCTGTTCCCACCCCATTCTGCAGGGGGGAAACTGAGGCACATGACATGACCCCAGGCAGCACTGGGACACAGTGCTCTCTGTACCTGCTGGCCTCCCGCGCCAGGTCTGGACGTCTCGCCTAAAGGCCAGGTGTGCATGTGGTGGGGCACCAGGAGGCCCCAGTCACCCCTGTGGGCCTGGCCCAGCCTGAATCCCAGACCCCAGACACTTAGCAAGTCCTCGGCACCTTCCTGGGTCCTGGCCTGGTTGAGAAGCCAGCCTTGCAGCTCCCCACTGCTCCAGGTGCAGCCATGGGGCCCGGAGCCCTGGCCTCAAGGGGCCCTGGTGTTCAGAGCCTGGGAGACCCCCGAGCAGGTGCCCCTCCTGCCAGCATCCATGACAGGCGGCACACCCACCTTGCCCCAGTGCTCCCCACCTCACGAGGCAGCCCTGCACCCAGGGCCGGCGGTGACAGTCAGCAGGGCATGGCCCCCGCTGCCCACCGAAGTGACCGGGCCACGTTCCGCCCACCGTCTGCACACCGCACACCCTCCACTAACCCGCCCAGGTCCCTTGCTGCGCCGCCCCACCAATCCCTGAAACCCTCCCACTGTGGCCCCTAGCCCTCCACCTGGGCAAGAACCAGGCTGTGCCCAGTGGCTTTCTGCTCGTGTGCTGGAGTGACGACAGCCGTGGCTGGCACCTGGCACATCCCTTGGGGACTCCCCACGCCGCTCCACCCACACTGGGCAGTACCTGGCTCAGACTGAGGAGCTGGGCGACCCCATGGCCCAGCATGCTGTCCGGCAGAGGGGGCCAGTGCTCATCCACCGCGGGCAGCGTCATCTCCCCCCGGAGGTCCCTGGCCAGCAGCTGGGGGAGGAGCACACAGAGAGCCAGCTCTACCAGGGCCAAGCCCCCCAGGTGTCGGGTGAGGGCTGCCCTGGGCCTCAAACTCCTCTGTTCGAGCTCCATCCATCAGGCCTGAACTCGATCCCACCAGGCCCCTGTACCAGGCCTGCCCTACCCTCCGTCCCTATAGCTCAGGGTCTCCCAAGGCCCCAGTGGCCTCTGCCCAGCCCGAGGGCCTGGGGCCGGCTGTCTGAGGCCTGTCTGGGAAGCGTTGGGGAGGAGGAGATATTCTGGAAGCAGTTTGGGGAACCTCAGCCCGAGCCAGACCTGAGGGACCTCAAGAAGGTGAATGGACAGACAGTGCTGGGGCTTGAGGTCAGCAAGGGGTTGGGGGACCACCCCCGTCCCTGTCCCTTTCCACACGGAGCTGCACATCCCCTGGACTGGGCCCCACTGTTGGCCCAAGTCACACCCCAGCCCGAGGGGCACGCACCTCCTTCCTGCCGTCCAGGCTCAGCCCCGGCTGGCCCAGCACATAGGACAGCTTGGCCAGGGCAGCCTCCGACGTCATGTCAAAGCCCGAGACGATGTCTGCACCCGCCATGGCCTGAGAGAGGGGGGCACGGGTGGGAAATGCGGTGTAGGGGTCAGCCCAGCTAGCCCTGGGCCCTCCCTCTCCAGGCCTCGGTTTCCCCATCCCCACCATGCCGGCTGCATAGTCCGAGGTCACAGCGCCCTGAAGGCAGTGGGTACAGTTGACGATGACAAGGCCTCGCTCAGCCGCTGCCCGCAGCTCCTGCAGCAGGTCGGGCTTGGTGGGTCCATTCCCTGAGCCGAAGGTCTCCATGACCACGCCCTTCAGGGGAGGCTGCAGGAAGGCCCGAACCTGCACAGGACAGGGAGGCGACAGTGAGGGCCTTTGCTTCCTGCTCCAGCCACAGGGACCAACAGGCTTGTCCTGTACCTTCCGGGTGCAGCCAGAAGCAGCACGGGGCACCCACCCCTCTCCCAGGATGGCCATGGTCCACGTGGAGAGCTCCCCACCACGTCCTCCCAAAGGGACGCCTTGTCCCCTTTTAAGTGTTCGAGGCCGTGGTTGGTGTGGTGATAATCAGAACACCATAAAATGGGTCAGAGGAGGTCACGGAGCCAGCTGGAGAGGAGCAGAAAAGGCCGTCAGAAGCCTCACCAACTGAGGCTCCACCAGGCCAGGCTGCTCCTCGGCCCCTCCAGGCCCCAGCCCCTCCACCGGCCCGCAGCTCTGCCCCATCTGCCACACAACAGGGGATGCTCCCAGCAGGCCGGTATTTGGGGAAAGGGCCTTGCAGCTAGACACACGGGCAGGGTTCCTCATAGGCCGGGGCTGCAAGGCTCCACTCAGAAGACAGTGGACGGAGCCTTGGGTCCACCTGGCACAAGTATGGTCCCCACTGTGGGGACACCTATTCCCCAGCTCAGCCATGTCCTGTGCCAGGTGCTGGTGGGTGTGGCCCACAAGCCTGGGGCCGGCCACCATGTCTGTCCCTTAATCTGCCACACAAGTGGGAGCCCAAGGGCCAAGCCACTGGCCTGGGGGATGACACTTCTGTGCAGGCAGGCACGTCCACCCATCTGGTGTGTCCCCCATCAGAACCTTCATCCTTCATCAGAAATGCCAGGTTCAGCTCCCTCTGCCTCTCCAGGCAGAAGCCAGGGATGAACACACACTTGTCCCTGGCAGACACCCAGGAGCAGGGGGACTGGACACCAGGACCTGCTGCAGGCTGGTGCTCGCCACCAGTAGGCCCTGCCTGGACGGCCCGAGTCCAGGGAGAACCGTAACTGCCAGCCCATCAGACCCCGTCCCCCTGCCCAAGCTTTGCCCAGCTCTGGTGCGGGGGGAGAACAGGGCTGTGGAGCCAGCTTGGTGGCTCTGTATTCCCCTCACTACAGTGTGTTCTAGAAAGACTTCACAGGATGGCAGGATTTTCCCAGAAAGATCCTGTGCAGCTCAGCCCCACTGAGCACGGCAGCCTTGTGCAGCCTCTGGCTACTATAAAACTTAAGACCCACCCTCACAGGCCAGGACCCGCCTGGTGGTGAGAGCCTTGAGCGTGGGATCCCTGTCCAGCAGTCCCGGCCACCAGCGTCAGCTCCTGGGACGACCCTCATCTGCAAGACCAACCCTCAGTGGAGCGAGCCTCCGATACCCTCATTCTGGTCCTGCCCGTGAGCCGTCATCAGGAGGGTGCCGTGACCCAGGGAGGCCCCACAGCCTGGCCTCAGTGCCCTCCAGGACCAGCCTCCTCCTCTGAGGGTCTCTGCCCTTGGGAGGGGCCCGCAGAGGAAAGGCCATCACGGACCCTCAGCCTGCAAATGACACGGAGCCCCAGAGGACAAGTGACGGCAGGATGGCGGGGGGCACAGACACCAGGACCGGTCCTTTGCCTTCGTCTGCAGGGTGCTGGGGTCCTGGGTGCATGTGGCCCCTGTCCCGGCTCCCAGGAACAGCGTCCAGGACGATCTCTGGGCCAGTCCCTGGTAAGGCCATGCCGTTTGCTTGAACAATAAGCCCCGTCTTCCCCACCCAGCCATGCACAGTGCACACGTGGTCGCGTCTCACTCACTTGCCAAATACTGCAGAATGCCTGCCCTATGCTGGGCCCCGCAACAGGCATAGGAGACATGTGGAACAGAGACCACCCGTCTGTCCCCAGCGCCCTGGGAGGGCAGTAGGTACCACTTCACAGACTGCAGCCCAGAAGTCAGAGGCAGCCCAGTGCTGAGTCCTGGCAGCTGGGACTGGCACCCTAGCCATGCCCTCCTGCTGCCCCGCCGGGCCACCCTGTGTGTGGGGATGCACCCGTGAAGCCACATCTGTCCAGACAGAGGAGGGGGCCACAGGGCCCAGCTGGTCACGGCACTGAAGCAAGTGTGTTCTGAGCTGTGGTGTCCGCCACCCCGCCTCCCTGCAGCCTGGCAGTGCCTCCAAGCCCAGCGCCAACCCCTCCACCCACTCTAGCAAAGCCCAGAGGCACCTTTAGCCCAGAGACCCTCCCTCCAATGGGCTGCATGGCCTCGAGCCCAACTCACAGGGCAGGACAGAGGCAGGTGCTGCAGCCGCCACAGTGACAGCTGGTAGCTGAGGGATCGATTGCAGGGCGCAGATAGAGACCACCAGAGCAGCGACAGAGAGAGCAGAGTCCTGGGGCCATACCCCACGGGCCCCAGAGGAACCGCAGGTCCAGGCGCCGTGAGTCCACGGGCGTCCACAGGGACAAGCCCACTTCGCCCATCAGGTGAGACAGGCCTGGAGCCTCGGCTGAGCGGGCAGGGGCGGAGGGGCAGGTCTCAGGACTCGCGCGGGGGCAGCGCACAAAGGGCTCAGCCCTGGCTGTGAAGGCTGAGGGGCTCAGTGCGATTGCTGTTCTCTGAGGGCCTGGGCCTGAAGTGGGCCTTGGGTGACAGGAGGGGAAGTGCAAAGGAGACAGGATGGGAAGGGAGGGGGGCCACACGAGCTGGTGCAGGCCCAGGGGAGCCACGGGGGGTGTGGGAGCCATGGAGGGGCGCTCGGGGCCGGCAGGTGTGTGCTGGGCCAGGGCGGGTCCCTACCAGGGCAGCGGGGATCCCAGGGTAGAGACGCAGCAGGCCCACGTCACGCTCCATGCTGCTGTGCACCACCAGCCGCTCCGGCCCTCGGACCTTCCGCACCAGCTCCCGGGTGACTGTGAGGACAGAGAGACTGAGCGTGGACCTTCAGGCAACCTGCCAGCCAAGACCCCGGCCCAGCTCCTCCAGCCCCACTGTGCCGTCCGGTCTCCCTTTGGCGTTTTCAGAGCCCAGAGCCTTCGCATGGCCAGCAGCCCCTCCTGCCTTGCCTCCACCCCCGAGACAAATCCTGCCAGCCCTCGGCGCGCTCATGCCAGGGACGCAGCCCCAGTCTCTGCCAGGCTCTGTGGAGGGCACGGGGTTCAGGGGCAAGGAGGAAAGAGGCCTGTCGGAGCCTTGCAGGCTGCATAGGAGTGTGTGGGGGAAGGAGGAGGAAGGGCATTCCAGGCAGAGGGAACAGCGTGTGCAAAGGCTAAGAAGCACAACAGACGTGGCAAGCTAAGGAATCACAAGCAGTTTGTTGTCCTGGATCCCAGGAGCGGTGGGGGTGGCAGTCTCTGACCATCCAGCCTCACTCGCCCCTCACTGGGCACCTACCGTGCCCATGGCCCAGTGAGTCAATGAACAAATCAATGTCTTCTGGACCCCTCACCTTTGGGGAAAGAAAGCCTCCTTCTGATTCACCCCCCAAGTCTGAGAGGCCTAATGTGTGTCCACCCTGCTCCCCACGCCCAGGGGAGTAACAGCAGATCCCAGCACTGTGGAAAGTGGCGAGGGGCAGATATGCAGGGCAAGCGCTCCTGAAGCCCATCTGCAGAAGAGCACCCCAGAGGGTCAGGCTCCCCACGGGTCTGAAGGCCGCTGCTCTGCCAGAACCGAGCCACCAGAGGCCTCCCAGCCTTCCTGCCCCACCCATGGGCAGGGGCAAGAGGGCAGGGCAGCAGGCCTGGCCTTTGAACCCTCAGGAGCCGAGCGCATGGCCCCATTCTCTCAGCCCCTGGGCAGCACAAGGCTGCTCTGAGCAGGGCAGAGGCCCGTGCTGATGACCCCACTGGCACTGACCACTGTTAGAGCTGGGCCGAGGTGGCAGGCACCAGGGAGCCCCCTAGTCCAGTCCAGGGAAACCGAGGCCCAGAGTGGAAGGGCCTTGCCCAAAGCTGCCTGGAGTCAGGTGCAGAGCCAAGAGAGGAATGAGGGCTCCAGGACCCCCACGCAGGGCTCCTTCCCACCCCCCACAGAGCCTGTGTGCCTCCTGCTATTTCTGCCAGAACAATTCACATATGATAATAAGCCAAGGAACATTCCGGACACAAGCTGCCATCTCATGATGCATTGCGGCAGACATGGGGGTGCTGGGGGATGGGCAGCGGGAGGGAGAGAGCCAGGTTGAGGCCCGGAGACCCCCCCACGGGCGGCTGCAGCATCAATCAGCAGCAAGAGGCGTCCTTTAATTTAGGGCTGTGCGCCCCAGCTGGGCGAGCAGATAAGACAGCGGCAGGTGGGGGCACAGCCAGCACCCAAGAGTTATGGCTGCAGAGGGGTGTTTATGGAGACAAAGAGGGCCTGCACCCCCCGCGTGGTCGCCCATCCCCCTGAGAGCACATGGAACCCCAAGTCCTTCTGCTTGGGCCTGCCGGAGGCCAGGGGACAGCTGTCCCCACGCTCGGAGGGGCCGAGAGAGGAGGGACAGTAGCAGCGCAGCGTGAGGCTCACAGTGACCAGGCCAGCTCCCGGCTCAGCCCCCTGACAGCCACCGTAGGAAGTGACCGAGCCGCCTCAGGGCGGACGCAGCAGAGCCCTTGTGCACAGGAGGACCCCGGCTCTGCGTATCCCCCACAGCTAGAGGGGTAGGGCCAGCCAGAGCCCAGCAGCCTGACTGCCCCCCAGTGCTGCCCTCTCCCCAGGGCCAAGGGCTTCCACGCAGAGAGGACATGGGTTTCTGGGAAACCTGGCGTGGCCCGCACAGGCCTCAGCCCCTCAGGAGGGGCAGGGCCAGCAGGGCCAGGGCCCCAGCACCACCGCGCACCCCTCCTCGAGTGGCTCAGCACTGCCTCCTGAGCCCCAAGCCCGTGCTCCGTGACAGCCTCACAGAGGGAAGTAAAAATGCAACATGGGGCCCGTGAGAGGGCGCTGACCACCGCCGTCCTGGCTCCAGCTGGAGGGTGGGGTACAGCCCAGGTGTCCCTCAGCCCCCACGGCCCCCCCTCCAGGGGCCCCGCCACCCACACCTGAGTAGAGCCAGGTGTTTCTTAACACCAGGTGCCAGAACCACCCGGGCCTGACAGCAGGACCGGGGCAGGTGGGAACGCAGGTTCTCACATACCGCACCGCGCCCTGGTTGGCGAGAAACAATCCTGGTGGAGTCAGAGGCCTGTGGGGACCGAGGGCGGCCTCTCCTCTCGGGCCCAGCCTCAGCTGGGCCCACCAAACCGCTGGGCCCGGCCCACACAGCGTGCCCTGTGCCTTGATGCCTGCTTGGGCTTGGCGCGGCACACGCAGAGGCCCTGGGATCCAGAGTGAGCTCCTCCGCGCCTGCCAGCGGGCTGCGTCCCTGGAAGCTCCATTCCTGAGCCCCAGAGAAGGCGGGACTCAGTCCCCAAGGGAGAGGCAGGCCTGTGGAATGGCCACTCGCTCCTTCATGCCCATTCCTTCCTTCCTCAGCTGGCTGGCATCAGGCCAGGAGGGGCTGAGTGCCACCACCCACCATAGCGAGGAAGCCAATTCATTCGCCAGCAGCAGCACACGTGCCACCTTCTCCAGGAAGCCTTCCTGACTGCTCTGGCGCTCAGTGAGCAAGTAGCCCCCTGCCCAGCCCCGGAGCCCTGGGCGTGCTGCACACATCTTAGATGCACCCATGAGTTCTGGGCCCTACAACCCCTGGAGGACATCCAGGCAATCGGGGTGGGGAGGGGTAGGGGGGTGCAGGGAAAGACCACCAGCAACAGGAGTCCGGGCTCAGGGCCCAGCCAACACTCCCTGTGTGGCCCTTCCCCTCCCTGCCAGTTTCCACCCTGTGGTCTCCTGCCTGGCCTGCTGCCGCCCCACAAGTGCCTGGCAGAGGGGCCGGGGGGCAGCCAGCAGGTCCTGCTGGTCACCGCGCCTGGATTCCCACATCTGTGTCATGTTGGGATCCGAAGGCACAGGGGGCTTTCAGAGTTATACGACCAGCCCACCCACCCCAGGAAAGGGCCCACTCTCTTTAACTGCTCTCCACAGACAGCTCAGCGCCCCGCCAGAGCCCCCGAGCCCCTCCGTGCTCCCCGTCCTCATCACCGGCCTTCCCAGAAAGGCCCCTGCCCTGCAGACCCTTCCCAGCCTGGCCCTGGAGCTCCGAGGGTCCCCGCCTGTGTTGGAACATTCCAGGAAGCATCACCCCCCTCGGAGGTCAAGGCCCTGGCCCCCCACAGCCCACCCCTCCCCGGATCTTGGTCTGCTCCTCCTCATGCTGGGAGGGGGCCTGCTGCAACAGGGGACTCCCAAGGCTCCTCCTGTGCCAGCGCCCCCGCATCTGCCCCCTCCAGGCTCCCCCAGGCCCCGCCTCGGCCCAGCCTAGGCACAGGCAGAAGCCCGAGGGGGTGAGGAGGCCACCTCCGCTCTCCTGAGGGGTGGGATGGACGCTGCCATCAGGCAATCCAAGGAGAAGGGCCGCTCGGTCCTGCAGGTCCCACAGAAGCACCCCACGCCTCCATGCATGCAGTGAGCAAGGCTTTAAAGTCCCTAACCTCCCCTAGAAGAAGGCGCTCTGCCAGGCCCTGAGCCCCCCGGGACAGGATCCCACAGCTGGTGGGGTGGGGACAGGTGCCTGGGCCCAACACCAGGCCCAGGGACCCCAGATCAGTCAGGAAGAGACACTGGGAAGACTTTGGGGACACGAGGGGCCAGAGAAGACGGCAAGGCCGCTGCAGAGAACCCAGGTCACAGGCAGAGCTGCTCCTGCCTGCCCCACGGAGGGGTGTCCAGGGTGCTGGGGGCAGAGGGGCTGGCTATGCCCACCACGGACCCAGATTGGGGCCAGGAGATGGCTGGAGACACCGTAGGAGAGCAGACATCGGGGTGGACAGACTGCGGGCCGGGAGTGACTTCGGGGCCATTAGGGCAGCCCTGGGCAGACGCGGCCTGCACTCCAGGCCCAGAACAAGGTCGAGGCAGCTCCTACCCCCAGGGCAAGGGGGGGCTCCCCGGGGGAGGTCTCAGGACACACAACCTACTGGAGACCTCGGTCAGCCCCATAAGGGAAGCTGGGCTGCCCGCCAGGCCCAGGGGACAGAGAGAGCCCCTGGAAGTCCCAGGGATGAGGTCACACCGCAGGAAGCACATCCCAGGGGCCCCAGACGTGTGGCAGAGCCACCCACGGACAGTCACTGAGAGGGACTCCTATGCTTGGGGCATTGTGGCCAGGGGGACACACTAGGGGCAGATCCCCCAAACCTGCTCCTCCCCTCCGTCAATCCCCCAGCTCCGAGCCGGGGTTACCTGCTGGGGCCCCACCTCGGCGCACTGTGCAGCCCACCGGCTCCAAGCAGCCCCCCTTTTCTCCACAGCCTAGGGCAGAACGGAGCTGTGCTCTCGCCCGATTCGGAGGAATGTCCCCAGCCCTGGGCACAGTCTTCCTGCCCCCCACACGACTCCCGGGGCAGGTGCCCCCCAGGCTGGCCCTGCTCACTTATGACGTCAGCGCCCACGACGGCCAGAGGCGGCAGGTTGGGGGAGCAGAAGGCGGCAAACCGGCGCGCGTCCACCTTGGTCACTCGGTTGCCCCGAAACAGCTGATTCTGGAAAAACAGGCAGACCTGCAGGAGGGGGTGGGGAGATGGCGGCTCAGCACCGGGGAGCCCCTGCCGCCTTCCAGCTTCCCCCTTCCATCAGCGGGGCACCTGGACCACGGCACTGGAGCACTGCAGACTGCTGCTCCAGCCAAGCGCCCCTCCCTCCCTGCAGGGGCCTGGGGAGCGCCAGGCAGGGGACTGATCACAGGAGGGCCCACGACCCCTCCCGACCAACCCACCAGCCCTCTGCCCCACCCCTGCTTCTGAGGGAGCCCCTGGTGAATTCTGCCCAAGGGTGCAGAGAGTCACCCCTCCCCACGGCGGCCGTGCATCCCTCTGGGGCTCTGCTCCAGAGCTCGGGTGCTGGGGGTTCTAGCTCTGCCCTCCAGGCTCTGAGCTGCTCAAGAGCTGTTTCCCTGGGGAGGGGCCAGGGGGAGACAGCGGCAGTGAGACGGGAACTAAAATACACTTCAGTGAAGCACCCTCCCCGGGGCGGGCGCCCACATGCCAGGGTTCCTGGTCCCAGCCCCTGCGATGTGAGGGGGAACCTTGTAAATGTCTTCCTGAACCACCACATGACAGGGAAGACGCAGAAGAGGGAAAATGGCGGCTCTCAACTATGCTGCAAACAATCTATTTTCATGGAAACTTACAGACATACAAACGTAACATAAATACGTATATATATACACAATGTGGAAGAAAATGTGCCACACTGGTAACAGCAGACGTCTCTGGGGAGTGAAATTCAGAGGACTGTTTCCTTCTGATTCTCTGTTCTCTGATTTTCTCCTCAGTGGTGGTGGATTCCACTTGTCAGGGGAAAGACGGACCTTTGAAACCTGACCCCTCACCTGCGTGTGACTGAGAGCCACACCCACGAGCCCCTCACCTGGGTTCCTCGGGAGCACACAGGCTCCGCCACCTACATAATGGACCCTGGACCCAATGGCCGAGCCCCTGCCCCCCACACCGGGGAGGGGCGGGTACCTCTGGGATCACATACTGGCCGGCCATGAGCAGGGCCCCCAGCAGGTTCTCGCGGCCGTCGTTCCACAGGGCATGGATGGGGACCTGGAGGAGAGGCCACAGAGAGGGGCTGGGGCTCGGGCAGCACAGGAGGGGCCCAGCTGAGGATCCCCCAGGCAGAGGTCTGGGAGAGAGGGCGGGGCAGGCACGGGCTGGTGGGCGGCTGGGAGTTGGGGATCTGCGGGGACCGGCCACTCAGACGGCTGCTCCCGCTGACAATACCGCCTGCCCCGCGCCCCGACACCCTCTGCTCCCCGTGCAGGGCCCAGGGCCCACTGCCAGTGCCAGCCAGTCCTCACACTGGGAGGAATGCACGCTGGGCCTCCTGCCCCAGGACCACACCACTGCCCAGTCCGGCCCAGCCCAGCCCCCCGGCCCCAAGGGCCCCATGGCCCCACTCCCTTACTGCCCAGCCAAATCACAGGCTGGGCAGAGGGTGGCCAAGGGGTGACGGGTAGGTGGGCTGCAACGAAAAGAAACCTCGGGCCAGGGCCCGAATGCCCGGCCACAGACCTGCTCCTGTGTCTACCATGGGGGCCAATGCCCCAGGGGTAACTCTGACCAGTGCCCAGCTCCCTATCACCCCTGCCCAGGATGGGCTGGACTGCTGTGGAGTGTGCAGAGGTCAGGGTGGGCAGAATGGGCAGAGTGTGGTGAGTGAGGAGTGGTTGGCACACGGCCTCCAGAGGGCCAGAGTCCTGGGTCCTCACCTGGATCTGCTCATCATAAGGTGTGCGGCCACGGGCAAGGAGCCTGGGGCCTCTGAGCTTCCGTTTCCCCTCAGGTATGAAGGGATAAGGAAGCTTCGTCACAGCCATTGTGAGGGTTAGAAGAACACGCGTGATCCCTCCTGGGGCCGGCAGTGCTCATAAACCTGCCCTTCATCTCTCCAGAGAGGCCTGCATGGCATCCCACACCCCAGGGCCCGGGAGGGTCTAGGAAGAGCCAGTGTCAGCCTGAGCCCCATCCCTCTCATGAGAGTTTTGAACAAAAGATGGTCAGCAGCCAACGGTGTGTGGTGAGGCCCCGGGCCGCCCCCAAGTGGGCCGTCCCACTGTGACACCCGCTGGGGAGCCAGGGGGACACAGCAGGGCAGGCAGTTGGTCGGCCCCTGGCAGGCCTGGCAAGAAGACTTCCCTGGAGCTTTCTGAGCTTCCACCAGGAACTTTTCAAAGGGACACGGCACTGGCTTCCCACGCGAAGGCCTTGGCCTCTGCTCCCCGCCGGGGAGGATTCCAGGGGCCGCTGGGGTTTGCATTTCTGCAGCTGTTCTTGTGAAGCCACCGGAGGCAGAAGGGAGCCCAAGCCCTCTGACACAGGCCGTCACAGGGGTCCAAACTTCCTCTGCCACCTCCCCTCAAATCCTGCAGTTTTCTAGAACATTCCACCTGCCTTGGCTTTGGGGGTCATGCTGGGTCAGGGTGAGAGAGGAGGGGGTGGCATGTGCCCAGGTCCCCAAGGATGGCAGTAAGAAGCATGACGAGAGGAAGAAAGCCAGGGCAGCTCGATGAGGCTGACGGCAGGCTGCGGACACCCCACCCCAGGTGGTGGGGCAGGCACCAGCAGGGCCCAGGGCGCCGACCAGCACTGGCCAGCTGGTGGAGCGGGAGCCGCCTCTGGAGCTGCAGGGCTGAGCCAGAAGCCGGAGTCCCGCCTGGGCCCCAACAACCCTCGGCAAGGCCCTGACCCACAGAGCCTCGGGCCCTGGCCTGGGGTGTTACCTGGGCACCGGTGAGGATGACCGTTTTCTGCAGGTTTTCCAGCACAAAGGAGAGCACGGAGGCAGCGAAGGCCATGGTGTCAGTGCCGTGGATGACCACGAAGCCGTCGTACTGCTCATAGTGTCTCTGTGAGAGGGGTGTGAGCTCAGGCAGGCCGGCCCTTGCCACTGCTGGCCCACTCCTGGGAACAGGCGCCCTCCACACCAGGAAAAGGAAGGAAAAGGCCCCAGATGCAGCAAGAGGGACTCGGGGGAGGCGCCTGCAGGACCCCAGTCACTGCTGGCCAGAAAGGCCCTCTCTGGAAAGCGAACCCCTGCCTGGATCCCAGGCCCCTATGCTCTCCCTGCTCCCAGGACGGCTTCCTTCCCTGACCCTTTGTGTGAGCCCACGGCGCTGTGGGTCTCTCCACGACACCCCTCAGCGTGTGAGAGAACAGGGGTCTGGGGGGGTCTCTGGACATTCTCCGAGGATAGGATGGTCCCCCCCCAGACTTCTGGCCAGCGTCTCCCACAGGCGATGCCCAGTCAGGGCTCTCAAGAACACTGGTCAGGTGGCGGACTGTGCCGGAACTCAGCTCAGTGCTGCTGGAGAGCCCCTTACTGAGTGACCACTGCCTCCAGGACAGCAGGGGGCCGTAGGGTTGACAAGCCCACAAGCCTTGAGGTCCAGTGGGAGGGCCAGGCGTGGACACAAGTGATGGGCACAGCCAGTGCTGGGAGCCGGCAGGTGAACTAGGAGGCTGCCCGGAACTGGACCTGGGCAGGCGGGCAGAATGCTGGTGGGCAAACACAGAGACGGGCCCTCCCAGGCACAGCAAAGGCCAGAACGCCTCCCAGGCACACCGGCCAACTCTGCAGGGACGCCCTCCAGCCACCACCTCCTGGAGGGCAGCCAAGGCTGGGCCTCGGTGGGCAGCTGGCCTAGGCTGTGGTTGCGAGGGGCACAGTTCTGGGGGCCAAGGGGCCCAGCTCCTCCTGAGGGGACCAGCCTGAAGGGACCATCCCCCGTGGCCCATAGAAGGACAGAGCCAGGCTAACCTGGGAACTGCAAAGAAGCCGAGCTGTGCGGCGGGCTGGGGCGCCCTCTGCTGGCCACACACAGGACTGCCACAGGCCGGGCCACCCAGGCTCCGACGCCCTTTGTGAGTTGGCCCTGGCTGGACCCTGCAGCCAGGCAGCAGTCCTGGGCGCTCAGCAGTGTTCAGGCCCCAACCAGAGGATGCTGCTGGCCACAAAACAGGAAGACTGCCCCAGACCATGGCCGCAGACATGCCCACTGGCAGCCAGTGGCCCCATTTAGGGACATAAGGGCCAGGCTCAGGGCCACACACTGTCCTAGGTGCTCATGATGAGGGGGGACGAGGCCCCACTCTTCTCCCCCAGGCAGAAGGAGACAAGCGTGTGATTGGGGTCAGGCCCGGCTGCCTGGGAAGGGGAAGCCTGTGTGATGAGCCTCTGGGAGCAGAGTTTCTTAAGGGAGGCAGGTGATAAATGGGCCTGGAGGATGGGAGGGCCCCCCACCCGGGGAGGCAGTGGGGGTAACACGGGGGTCAGAGCCAGGCTTGCGCAAGAGCGGGGGGCTAGCAATGGTGGGGGGACGGAATAGAGAGGAAGGCTGATGGAGGGGGCGGCTCTGGCAGCAGGTAAGGCGTCCACACTTGACACTATAAACCTCGAGACCTGTGGGGTTCTGTGCCCTTTTACAGGCCCTAAATCCACTAAGACCTGACTCCAGGGTGGGCCTGGGGTGGACATAGGGGAGTGAGCCAGTCATGGAGCTTGTCAATCTAGGGGAAGCATCGCGCTCCGGCCCAGGATACTAACTAGGACAAATCAATTGTACGAACAAACCAGGATGGCTGTCCCGCTGTTTCTTCACCAGGAAAGTGGACATGGCCCTCACTGCCCACTCTCTGCTTGCATGGGGCAAAGGGCACAGGAGCCTTGCAGCTGAGGTGTTATCCGAGGGCCCAGCACTCTCCTAAAGCTGCCATTCCCTGGTGCTGTCACGTCTCAGGCCCTGGCAGGCAGACCCCACTACACACCCCACAATGCTTATGCGTCCTGGCCCTGCCCAGACCACCAGCCTGCCCACAAGTCCAGCCCCATCCACACCCCCACTCCCGCCAGTACTGCCAGCCCCGCCCACATCCCAGCACCACCCAGTACTCCCAGCCGTGCCCACACACCCCAGGTACCTCGATGGTCTGGGCAATCTGAACCCACTCAGTGATGGTCATGTCACTGGAGTCGAAGAGGGGCTGGCACTCCAGCACCGTGTAGAGGATCCTCTGGTCGGGGCGTGCGGGCCTGCAGGAGGCAGAGGCAGACGACAGGCTCCCACTCTGCCCCCTCCTCCCTTGGCTGGCTCTGCTCCCCTCTGCCAAGCCGGGCCCCTGCACACAGGGATGTGTCCGTGGGCCCCACACATCCACGAGCCCTCTGCATCCTGAACACAGGGCCCGCCTCCCTCCCACCTGGAGTCCCCAGGAACAGGGACTGTGGCGCCCCCCCAGGGGCCAAGGACAGGCCAGGCCAGGGTGGGGGAGGGTCCTAAGCAGTATCACCTTCCCACAACCAGCTCTGAGAGGGAGGCTGGGCCCAGCCCTGGATGAGCCAGGAGACGACCCTGGGCAGAGGATCGCTGGCAGGAGGGAGGTCAGTGACCAGGAGGGCGACTGCCCACTCAGCCTGCCAGCTGTGAAGGGACCCGGCAGCCCTGGCTGAGAGCTGAGAAGTGGAGGGAACTTCATGCTGCCAGGAAAGGCCACCTGGGGCCAGCCCCCCCGCCTCTTGATGGGCTTGGGTCCCTGAGTGGCCAGGGCCGAGGCCTGCAGCCCCCGAGGTGGTGGGAGTCTGCGGCTCGCTTGAAAGGGGGCTGTTGGTCAGTTCTAAAGCCACAAAAGTGCGAGACGACCTTAGTGATGGCCTCCTGCACTCGGCTAGCCATGGAATCACTGAGAACCACAGCCTGCTCCACGGACCCAGCAGGTGCCGTCCAGTCTCGGGATGGCCCTCCCCCACAACAGCTGGCCGTCGTCCCTACAGGGACCCTGGCGTAGCCCACACTCACGGCAGCACCAGCGTGTCCTCGGGGAGGCCACAGGCCTGGGCGTGCTCCTCATCGTGGAACATGGGCAGTGTCCGCAGGACGGCGGCCAGGCCCCTCCCAGGGATGAGCACTGCAGGCAGAGTCCAGGAGGAGCGTGGGGTCAGAAGCTGGCAGCCACCACAGCCGCCGGCCCCTCCCTCCTCACCGGGGACACGTGCTGGGGGCCAGTCCCTGGGCAGGGGCAGGGTTCCAGGACCAGTGCTGGGCCAGGTGGGCACTGGCCCTCAGGGAGTCAGAGGGTGGGCGGAGGGGCCTGCAGCGGTCAGGGGGCCCTGGAGAGAATGGGCAGCCGACCCATGTCTGGATGAGATGGCTTCCTCCCTCCGAGCCAGTGCTGACTGCTGCTGTCACCCAGGGGCCCTGGCAGGGGTTCAGGTGGCTCTGCCCCAGGCCTGCCTCAGCTAATGCCCCTGTCTCCACGTGAGCCCACACCCCCAGCCGAGGCTCAGGGGGCCCTGGCCCTCTCTGGCCTTTTTCTCACAACTTGGCCACACGCACCCACTCTGCTTCCCCCACTCCCAAAATGCCCACACTCACTTCTGCCCACAGACACGCTGTTCGCTCTGCCTGGAAGCCTCTGCCTCTCCCTCCTCTCACCCGGCAGGTGCTTCACCTCAGCTCAGCGAACCACCTCCAGGAGGCCCTCCTTCATGTCCAGGCCCTGGTGCCCTTCCCACACACTCCCTGGCTGCCCTTGCTCCCTCGCTGAACTTCGTGTGACCCCTTGGGGTCCAGCCCAGGCCCGCCTGCAGCCTCCCTGTCCCAGAAACATGCATCTAAAGAGGCCCTGGGCAGAAATGGTGCCATGTTCCAACAGAACTCTAAAAGGTCACAAAACAACCCCTCAGCACAGGCTCCCAGAAGGATTACTGCATCTGAGTTCCGGCCTTTTGTCCCACGCTGCTCCCTACAAGTACCGTGACCTTGGGCAGGTTGGCTAACCTCTCTGAGCACATTCACCCCTCACCAAGGTTCTGTTGGGCATCACCCATGTGCCTGACTGTGCTGGGCACCTGGACCCACCATCGAGGACAACAGGGTCCCTCCCTCAGGAAGCATCCTTGGCTGAAACATGTAAGACTTTCAGGACCAGGGTCATTGGTCACTCCCAGTCCACGATCTTGTTCCCACCTTTCACCCCTGCCAGGTGTATCAGCCTCCCACTGCTGCATAACAAATTACCCCACACTCAACCACTTAAAACAGCACCCCTCTCTTATCTCACAGTTCTGGAGGGGAGAAGTCTGGTGTGTTCAGGCGTCAGCAGGGCTGTGATCTTACTGGAGGTGCTAGGGGAGAACCTGTGTCCAGGCTCCCTCGGGTGGTTGGCAGAATTCAGTTCCATGCGCATACGACTATTTCCTCGCTGTCTGTGCCCTGGAGGTCATTCTCAGCTTCTAAAGGCTGCCCACAGTCCCAGGCTTGGGGCCCCTTGCTCCGTCTTCAAGGCCAGGAATGGCAGATCGAGTCCTCATGCCATGAATCTCTCTGATCTCCCTTCTGCCTCATCTCTTCCTTTTAAGGAGCCCGAACACCGGCTCGTCTCACCCATGAGGACACCCCCGCCCCTCAGTCCTTCCTTAGGCCACCGTGAGTCTGTCCCCTCACCAGGCTGGGGGCCGAATTCCCTCCCCAAATGTGAATCTGCCCACAGGCTCCTTTCCTTAAGGTCAGCCGCTCAGCATCAGGCCCTGACCCCCCAACCGGCCCCAAACGTCCCTCCTGCCCCATCCTCCTCCTGCCCTGCAGCTCCCACAGGGGTCTGCTCCCCCCCACCCCACCCCCCCGCTGTATCACTTTCTCGTGGCTGCGTAACAGGTCCCACAGGCAGTGAATTGACGCGGTACCCCTTTATCATCAAGCAGTATCCATGGGTCAGAAGCCCAGCAGACTCCAGGGACAGCAGGGCTGTGTTCCTCACCCACATGTCTTCGTTCAGGCCATCTTCCTGCCCCAAATGCCCCCCTCCACATGTCCACCTGCTAAATCCCAGGCCCCAGCCCCCCGCCCCCCGCCAGCCCCAACCAGCACAGTTGCACTGGCCAGTGGATGTCTGTGGATGTTTCTGGCGCCATCTCTCCAACCACAGGAGACCCGAGGGGGAGCACTTTGAACAACTCCTCTCCTCCCCCAACCCACCCCACCCAGCACGAAGCCCCACCACCGCCCCGCAGGGCCCTCTACATGTGTGCTGCAAGAGTATAGCTGTCTGTGGAAACACCAGGCCCACAGGGCTCAGCAGACAGAGGGGACATCGGTGCATGACTGCCAGCACAGCCACCCCACCAAGACACCTGAGGCGTGACCAGGACACACAGCTGCCTCCACAAAGGTCTGGACTCACTGGCCCTGCCAGTATCAAGGACTGAACTTCAAATCCTGGGTGTTGAAGAAGGCTCAGAGCCACCTGGCCACCCAGCGCTGGCCACCCATGTGCAGTGGGCTGAAAAATGGTCCCAAAGATGTCCACGTCCTGATCCCAGAGACCTTGAGGGTGACGGGAAATGCAAAGTCTTTGCAGGTATGATCAAGTTAAGGGTCTTGAGATGAGATGATCCTGGATTATGCGGGTGGGCCCTAAACGCCATCCCAAGTGTCCTTAGAGGAGGGAGGTGGAGGGAGATCCAACACACGGAGGAAACAGGGCAGGGCAGAGAGAGCCCTGCGGACGCTGGCCTCGAAGGCTGGAGTGACCGGCCACGCGCCAGGAAGAGGGAGGAGGGCACCTCTCCTACGATGCATTTCTGTTGCTTTGGGCCACCCAGGGTGTGGTCATCTGTTTCAGCAGCCACAGGAAACAAACATCCATTTTCCACTCCACTCCCTTCGTGGTGGGTGGTGCTGGGGTGTCTGTGGAATCTGGGGATCCACTTATGGGGCAGGGGAAGTGGGGATCCGCTTGGTTTGGGTTTCGTGGGACAAGCTCGAGACGTGCTCCATCCCTCCACCCATAGCGAGGCTATTGCAGGCTGACAGTGGCAAGGGCTTCCAGGGACATCCCACGGTACAGCGTGGCAGAAAGGGGCAGGCCAGGGGGCCCCACAAGACCTGGACCCTGGTGTCCCTGCCCGAGGAGGGTGTGGGTGGCAGGGGCAAAACCAGCCCAAGAAAAGGCTAAATTCTCCTTCTATTCTCTTTTCTCTGTGCAAAACACTCCCAGTGCATCATCATAGGGAGAGAGCACGGAAAATGCAGCCAAAAACTGTGGGGAAACAGCCCTGAGGGAGCATCAGGAAGGTAACGAACAAAGTATTTTCTGGGTCTTGTGATATTCTTGGCTTTTTAAATCTGGTCATTTGTTGTGATTTCCTTCATCATTCTAAATAAATACCCGCTTTCACACCTAACTCTGATTTTGTAAATTGTATTATTTTTCTTAACTTGGGTCCCCTAAGGCTTTCGGCCTGGCAAAACTAGACCTGCCCTGCCCAGGCCTCGTCCCCAGGCCACACAGGCAGGCAGCTGAGGTGCCTGTCCTCTCGGTCCCTGTCAACACAGCTGGAAGGGACGGCTGCCCCTAGGACTGCAGGTCCCCCTGGAACTGCCTGTAGCTGAGGCTGTGCATGTGAACTGTGAGCACGTGGACCATGTTCAGGAAGGAGGTCCAGGCCAGGGGCACAGATGCCACAGTGGGGTGACCAAGAAGCCGTGGACGTCACCCCAACAGAAGAGGCTCAGCTGCCAGGACCACCTGCGGCCTCCCCGGCCGTCTGGCACCTTTGGCATTCTGGCCCCGAAGCTCTGTTCACCCTGCCATGCCTGCAAGGAGCCGGCTCACGAGGGATGCTCGGGTGGGTGGCAAGCAGGTGAGGGCCGCAGTTTGACACAGGGGGCCTCCGGGTCCCTCTGCTGCGTGGGGGGGCGGCAGGGATGCTGCTTGGCCTTGGGCTTGGGGTTATCGGATGTTTTTGGATTCATGATGCCCCTTGACCTGTGACATCTTTGATAAACTCAGAGAACGGACAGGCCAACGGGTGTCCCTAGCTGCCACCATCTCTGCCCTCCCGTTGCCATCCTGACCTTGGGCAGGGCTCGGACATGCGGCCTCGTGCCCTGCAGGCCGCTGTTTACCAGCAGGCGCAGAACCCTCTCAACAGTGACAAGCCCAACAGCTTTGCTGTGGCCGGGCCGCCCCTCCCTGCCCCCACAGGGCCAGGGCCCACGTCAGCAGTGCCAGGTAAGTTAATCATTGATGTCCATCGATCGGACTCGGGCAGGCGGGGCCTGGAGCCCCCAAGTTCAACAAGCCCCCCGCTGGGCTCACAGAGGGTGGGCAGGGGCTTGCCGAGGCCGTCAGAGCGCAGGCCTCGGCCCCCAGGCCTGGCTCCTCCGAAGGGCCCCATCTCGCTCTGGCCTAGTGGGCTGCCCTCATCTCTGGACACACAAAAGTCAACACAACCTGTGTGTCCCTGAAGAACGACAACTTTAGTCATCTCCCTGGTGTCCCTCGGGGTCAGGCGTCACACAGCCTGGCACCACGGCTCCCTGGCTACTCCTCTTCTAGGGTGACAGCCGCAGACGGACTAAGAGGGACAGAGAACCGAGAAGCAGGGACCGGATCTCATGTCTCTTCCTCCTTCATCCTCTGGGGCTTGGCCCATGGCTCCCTGAAGCCTGCTCCAAGTGGGGAAGGGTTGACAGCCACAGCAGCGGGGTCGGGTCACACAAAGGCCTGGTGCTGAGCGGCTACTTCCTTCTGGGAGCAGAGCTGTCAGCAAGGAGCCAGGAGGAGCCGCCGTGCTCCTAGCGGACAAGGAGCCCTGCCCCTTGGATGGGACAGGAGCTGCCTCCTGCAAGACGACACCTCCACCAGGGCTCAGAGGACCGGCGTCCTCACCAGCTGGGCCAGGCTGGCTGCTCTGAGCTGGCTTCCGAGCACAAGCGGACACCTGCTGACCTCACCTTCACTGGGTCCCGAAGACCCCAGTGCCCAGAGCAGCTCCAAGGGATCTCGGAAGACTCTCCCCTGTCTGGAAATTGACCCCCACCACACCTCATCTTTCTAGCGTCAAGGTGGTTCGTCTTCCAGATGTGTGACTTAGCAGCCTCTTTAGGAAATGCAGCGCCTGTGACGGTGAACCACGAGGCTGCTGCGAGCCCAGAGGGCTTGGGGGCAGGGACGACAGTGCAGGTGGGATCAGGGCCAGAGTCCACCTGTCCCTGCAGCCCAGACCCTGGAGAACTATGTGTTCACCTCAACAAATCACATTTGGCCACGTGTCAAGCCTGGAGGGGCAGGGTCAGAGGTGGGACTGGGCCCCAGACAGTCTTCGCGCCAGCTGGCTCAGGAGCAGCTCCCCTCTCTCCATCCCAGCCCTGTCGGCTCTCCCGCCTCTGTCCAGCAGCCCTTTTGCCCTCAGGGAAGCCCTCCCTGAGGGGCACACACACACACACACACACACACACACACACACACGCTGGGCCCCGGCCCTGTCAAGTGCCCACAGCCCACGTCTCCTCGGCAGACTGCCTTTGTGATCGCTCCTTAATCGTGGACTGCTCCCTGTTTAATGCTACAAGGGCCAAGCTGAGGAACCACCACAGTGCCCTGCTGGTGGAGTCTCACTCGGGGCCTTCCGGCCTTCAGGCGATCACCAACCCGGGAACTGACCCATTGGAGAGGCGGAGGGTGCAGCAGCAGAGGGCAGGCCCCCCGCAGCCCAGGAGGAGCAATTGAGGGGGAGGGGTGGACAACCACATCTCTGGTGCCTGAGCGCCTCTAGGAGAGGGCTCGATGCAGTTCTGAGTCCTGGGGCCCAGCACAGAGTGGGCCTCAAGAGACATCTGTGAATTGACCATTGGGTGTCGCAGATGGAGTAAGAGGGACAGAGAACGGAGAAGCAGCTGTTGGAGCCACCAGGAGAGTGCCAGTGGCACCTGAGTAGCTGCTTCAGTGGAAAGGGTGACCAGGAGAGATGGGGAGGGAGAGAGGAAGGGAGGGAGGGATGCGGAAGTGGCCCAAGGACGTCAAGGGCAAAGGAGAATGTTCTCTGGTGGGGGGAGGGGGAGGGGCATGAGCCAGAGCTGGTCTGAGGGAAGGCGAGGGCCCGGGGCCAGAGGCTCTGGCAAGGCCTGGACATGGGAGCTGGGAGAGGGTCTGGGTGGGACGACATTCCAGGGCCAGGTGTGCGGCTGCCCCAGGGGTGAGCTCCGGACAGGACAGGGCCTGGGGCTCAGAGGACAGGGGTTAGGAGTGGTGGAGGGAGGTCCCAGGGGCAGCAAGGAGGGGTGGCTGGCAGGGGAGGGCAGCTGGAAGAGGGTGGAGGAGAAGGACCAGCGTCCATGGGAAATGGACTCTTCAGGGAGAGTTCGTTCTCCACAGCAGAAGAGTGGAAAAGAGGCTCAAGAATGAGGCTGAGGGTTTCCCTGGCCCACCTGGAGGAGGGGCACCCCACAGGTCACAGAGCCCAGAGGAGACTTTGTGGAAGGTACATGCAAGTCCCCATGCTCCCAAGAATGCTGGAACATGCTGGATGCTCTGTGCCACAGTCCTCTTCCTACCCCTGCAGGCCCAGGCTCCCCAAACCGGGTCCCTCCCTGAAGGGGCTCAGCCCATGCTGGGGGCACCCTGTCTGGGCAGCCTGTGGAGTGCAGGTGCCCTGGCCAGGCCTCACCCCACATGGAGCAGTCACCCCCTGCTGACTCAAGTCAGGCCAAAGCCACAGGGCAGAGAAAGCAAAACGTCTGACTCCCCAAGGACACCTAGTGCACCGGAACACTTCCCCATGGGTGTCAGACGCCCGACTGCCAGGCCAGGAGCCCAGGGCGCTGGGAACAAGGGGAACGGTGGGGGCCGTGTTACAGCCACTCAGGGGTCCCTGGTGAGGGGGCTCGCAGCCTCTAAACACCAGCCCACCAGCCCGTCTGTCCGGGGAGGGGTCAGACAGATGCTCCTGGTCCTCCTGGCCCCACACGCCGTGGGTCTAGGTGCGGGGCCCCCAGGGTGCAGGACGCAGTCCAGGGCAGAGGCTGCGACCCCGGGGCGCTGACCGCTGACCCCGAGCAGCCGGTCAAGGTGAGGTCCCGCTGTCCTGCTCCCTCCTCTCCCCGGGTGCGAGAAGCCCCTCGGAAAGGCCACACCGCAGAGGACGACCCCATCCCGCCCCCACCCCGGAGGCCGCCCCTGCCCGGCGCCGTCGCCCACTCACCGCCGCGCTCGCTCCGCATGCCGATGGTGCCGCCGGTGTAGACAGCCAGGAGCCGCCGCTCGGGCTCCGCTGCGCGCGCCATGCCCAGGACCAAGGGACCCTAGCGGACTGGGGGCCTCGGGGCACTGGGGGCACGGCGGGGACGCAGAGGAGCTGAGGTGACCGCGGGAGACTGAGGGGAGGCGGCGGGGCACGCCGAGGGCAGCCCGGGGAGGGCGGGGCCTGAGGGGGACAGGCAGGGAGAGGCCGTCTGGGGGCGGGGGAGGGGCCCACCTGCTGGGGGCAGTGCCCGCGGGGGACGCGGAGAGCTAGGTCTGCCCTGGGAGGTGCGGGGGGAGGGGCGGGACCTGCAGGGTGCAGAGGCACCTGCCGGGGTGGCGGGGGATGCCCGTCGGGGGGCGGGGCCTGTCCGAGGATGGGGGAGGCGGGGGCGGGGGCGGGACCTGTCCAGGGGCAGGAGGAGGGGCGGGTCCTGAGCGGCCCCAGGCGATCCGATTTCCGACTCTGCAGCCTTCCCGGCTGTTGGAGTTGCTGTGACACGTGGCGCAAAGGCCACGTGCCTCACGGATGGTGGTGCCAGAGGACCCCCAACGCGGAGTGGGGGCCGCCTCCCCTACCAGGCAGCCCCCACAAACCGTGGTGCTCCAGCTAAGCCCGTACTGCTGACCACGCCCTCAGTGTCCACTCCTTGGGGTAGCCCCAGCCTGCCCATCACACACGGTCCAGGAGAAGGGCTGGAGGGGATCCCTCCAGGGCTGGAGCCCACCCCCTCAGTCCCACAGAGCCCAGGGGGGAAGGGTGGCTGTGAGCAGGGTGCTACAGGATCCAGCTGCAGGCTTGACAGCACGTGGCTTCAGACCCCGCCGCCCCCGCTCTCAGCGCCAGCACACCAAGGCCACACCTTGACCATGTGGGGACCATGATGCAATTCGGTGGAAAACTGCGTGTCCCCAGAAAGAGCCCTTCCCTATCTGATTCCGATGCCATGGAAGTTATTCTGACAACTGACAACAGTGCAGAAGTAATTCTTGTCTACACACAAGCAAATGAATTCCATCCAATGGGGCTGAATTAGTGTATCACTCTGTTCCTGTGGCCACAACAAAAGATCGAAGCCTGGGGGCTTCAACAACATTTACTATCTCCCCGCCCTGGAGGCTGGAAGTCGGAGGTCAGGGTGTGGGCAGGACTGGTTCCTCCTGAGGCCTCTCTCCTCCCTTGCATGCGGACCGCCTTTCCTGTGTGTGGGTCCCTTTGCACATCTGTATGAGTGTCCAAATTTCCTTACTACATCAGTCTGATTGGATTAGGACCCGCCCCAATGGCGGCGTTTTAACCTAATTGCCCCTCTAAAGGCCCTCTCTCCAAACAGTCACATTCCAAGGTGCTGGCCGTCAGGGCTTCAGCATGTGAGTTTGAGAGGGACACAGTTCAGCCTCTCCCCCCCCACCCCCACCCGGGGAAAACCCAGTTTTGCCTCCCTTTGCATGTTCATGTCACCATTCCTGCTCTGTAAGTGTGTCTTTCCTTGGGCTTCTCTTCTGAGGGGGTCCTCACACCTGCCTGGGCCCCCTGTGGTGGGTAAGTGAGCTACTTCTCTGTCTGTATGAGAGCCACAATCCACCTTGTGGGAAGCCATCCCTTCACAACCCACCGGCCACCATAAGACCAGGAAACCGAGTTGGGGTCCGGCAGGCCTTCTCTGGTGATATCCGAACACTGGCTTCTCTTCCAGGGGTGCGGGAGCCACACCAGGTTTTGCTACCAAACTGTGCAAGAACCAGGGGTGGACTTCGCAGCATCTGCAGGTCCCAGCTGGTCTCCAGGCAGCTCAGCTGCTCTGCCGTCCTCTTTCCTGTTCTGCTTTGCTTGCATTTTTGCTCACGGCTACCTCTGTCTACCACGTTCTCTTACTTAACCACTTGTGCGATACGTGTGTACCTGCTGTGTCCGGGTGCCCGTCTAGGCACTGGGGACTCCGCCTGGTCCTCCTGGAGCTCACCTTCTAGTGGGGAAGGGCCCCAATAGACACTCCCTCCCCCAGCGCCTGCTGGTGACAAGTGCTGTGAGGATCAAGAAGGGAGCAGAGTGACAGCTGGCACCATTTCCGACAGGGTGGTGAGGGACGGCCTCTCTGAAGGGCTGAGTTTTGAACAGAGAGAGGGAGAGTGTGCCGGGCAGAGGGAGGCAGGTGCCCTGGCCCCAGGCAGGAACAAGCTCGGTGAGTCCGCACAACGCCCAGGAGGTCGCAAGGTCACTCAGAGGGAGGGGATGCTGCCTAAGAGGCTGCGGGCCAGGTTAGGGCTTTGGATTTAACCCTAAACGTGACTGTCAGCCCCCAGAGGGCTGGGCTGGTTTGTCTTAACTCTTGACTGCTGTGTGGAGAAAGGCAGACAAGAGGGGTCAGAGGCCCACTGGGGGCTGTGGGGTCAGGGTCCAGGGGAGGGGTGACAGTGGCTGGGGAGGAAGTGACAGGTGGTCATACTGGGGACACGTTTGAAGCTGGGGTGTGAGGCAAAGACAAAAGTCAGGGACAACTCAAGTTTTGGCCAGAGCAGCACGTTCAGTGGGATGTTCTCACGGAGTTGGGAAGGCCTCCGGCAGGAATTGCGGTTGGGGCCAGGCAGGAGGGAGGCGAGGTGTGTGGGGAACATTAACTCTGAGATGCCACCTGGACAGCCCAGAGGAAACGATGGCTGTATGTTCTGGAATCATCAGCACAGGGGTGACGTTTAAAGTCGCGGGAACAACGAGGTCACCTAGGAGCGGAAGCAGGGAGACCGAGGCCCAGCCTGAGCCCCACATCCCAGCCTACGGACAGGAAAAGGAGGGAAGCCAGGAGAGCCCGGGCTGAAGCTGGGATCCACACCTCAGGGCCAGGGCTTGAGTGGAGGGTGGGGGGGTGACCATAAGCTGAGCAAGATGGAGGCCCTGGGCGACCCGACCCCCGCTCGCAGAGCAGAGGGGACAAACGCCCCACTGGAAGGCACTTCATTTTCTGCTGTGCTTCCTGCTGCTGGAGGGAAGCCACCTCTCACAGGGACTGGGCTCCCTGACTGTGGTTAGGATTCCTCAGGGCTGGAGCTGTCCCCAACACCCTCCCTCTCCCTGGGGCAAGAAGCTGTCCCCAACACCCTCCCTCTCCCTGGGGCAAGGAGCTGTCCCCAACCCCCTCCCTCTCCTTCGAGGCAGGGAGCTGTCCCCAACCCCCTCCCTCTCCCTGGGGCAGGGAGCTGTCCCCAACCCTCTCCCTGAGGCAGGGAGCTGTCCCCAACTCCCTCCCTCTCCCTGGGGCAAGGAGCTGTCCCCAACCCCCTCCCTCTCCTTCGAGGCAAGGAGCTGTCCCCAACCCCCTCTCCTCTCCCTGGGGCAGGGAGCTGTCCCCAACCCTCTCCCTTGGGGCGGGGAGCTGTTCCAGGATCCACCAAAGCGCCTCCACTGGACAGGCTACTCCAATGGCGCCAAGGCCAGGAGGTGAGTCTGGAGGACCTGGGCAGGCCCATAGGTTCTCATCAAACTCAGCCCCCCCACCGGCCTTTATCTGTTTTATTTCTCAAATTGTTCAGAGAAGCACGGCTTCTTGGGCCCCAGGGATCCCTAACACCCTCTTTTCTCTCTCACTTCTCGCCCACACCCTTGCTAGTGCCACTCCCTCCATGCCGAGCAGAGAGCCCACCCCACAGTGGGGGAAAGAGTGGCTTTAGGTGGGGCAGTACCTTTTCTGCAAGAAAACCCCCAAGAGGACTGACAGCTGAGGGCCATCTGCCAGTAGCCCCCCGGCAGCCAGAGGGGAACATCTGTCATTCCCGAAAGGAGCCGACGGTGTGTCATGGTGTCCCCCACCATCCAAGAGGACAGGGGCATCTGCCACTAGTCAAACAACTAGACAAACAACTAGACATCCACATGGAAAAAATAACCTCAGCCCTTATGTCACCTCACATAGAGGTTAATTTGATATGGTTCATAAACCCAAATATAAATGCTAAAACTATAAAGTTTCTAGAAGAAAACACAGAAGAATTTCTTTGTGACCTAGGGTTAGGCAAAGATTTCTTAGTGAGGAAACTCAAGGCACTAACCATAAAAATATTAAATTAACATAGACTTCATCAAAATCCCAAACTGCTGTTCGTCTAAACACCACTGTTAAAAAATGAATAGATGTTATAAAAATTAACTCAAAATGGATTAAAGTTCTAAATGTAAGACCTAAAACTATAAAACTCCTAAAAGAAGACATAGGGGAAGAGCCTCGTGACACTGGACGTGGCAGTGATTTCCTGGATATGACACCAAAAGCACAGGCAACAAAAGCAGAAATAGACAAATGGGATGACATCAACCTTAAAAACATCAAAGGACGCAATCAACAGAGTGAAAAAGCAATCCACGCTATCAGAGAAGATATTTGCATGTCATAGATCTGATAAGGGGTTAATATCCAGAACATATAGAGAACTCCTACAACTCAACAATGAAAAATCAAATAACTCAAAAAATTGGCAAAGAACTTGAATAGACATTTTTCCAAAGATTATATACACATGGCCAATAAGCACATGAAAAGATGCTCAACATCACTAATCATGAGAGAAATGCAAATCTAAACCACAAGCAGATATCACCTCACACCCTTTAGGATGGCTACCATTAAAAAAATAGAAAACAACAAATGTTGGTGAGGATATGGAGAAATTGGAACCCCTGTGCACCGGTGGTGGAATGGTAAAATGGTATAACTGCTATGGAAAACAGTATGGAGGTTCCTCAAAAAATTAAAAATAGAACTACCATATGATCCATCAATCACACTTCTAGGTATATATCCCAAAGAATTAAAAACAGTGTCTTGAAGAGATATTTGCACATCCATGCTCACAGCAGCATTATTCACAATAGCCAAAAGTTGGAAGCAACCCAATGTTCTTGATGGATGAATGGATAAACAAAATGTAGCATATCCATACAACGGAATACGATTTAGCCTTAAAAATGAAGGAGATCCTGACACATGCTACAACATGGATGAATCTTGAGGACATTATGCTAAGGGAAATAGTCAGTTACAAGAGGACAAATATCATATGATTCCACTTATATGGGGTCCCTAGAGTAGACAAATTCATAGAGACAGAAAGTAGAATGGTAGTCCAGGGGCTGGGGGGAGAGGAAATGGGGAGTTA